GGGCACAGGCAGAGAGAGTCACTTTGAAAGGCGATCACTTGAACACAAACTGACAGTCACAATGCTTTTTTTTTTCCTGGCATCCTGTTTTGTAGGCTCAGTTTTGCAAAGACATGCGAGTATGTGTCTGTTTAAGAGGGAGGGAGACATTTCTCAATTTGTACATTTTTAGCTGATGCTTTTATCCGTAGTCGTTTGCAATGTATGAGAAGGTAGTAAGACAGATGGTTGCTGATAAATCGAAGCCGTGACCTTGAGGTTATGGGATGGTCTTACAAACCTGACACTGAGACAGAGGGACGGATCAAGTGAGGTTGATCAAGTGTGTGACCCCAAGTCAAACTCTTGCTTCTTGCTGTATGAACGGTGAGGCAGTGCAGGCATGTTTCTGGGGTCACTACAGAGACAGAGGTGATTGTCAGGCAGACTATAAGGCGCTGTGAATATGAAAGCTGGCCCTCATGTGATAAAGCTCTGGGGCTTCACTAGAAAACACAGGGACAGAACCAGAGCGTTTCAATTACACATGTCATAATGACACCCTGTTCTGGCTTCGGCTCGTTTCTTTCCCATGTAGGAGTTTAGCACTCTCCTCTCTTCTCACATTTCAATCCCTTTCCTTCTCTTCACTCACCACCGCTGTCCCCTGCAGACCAGATGTTGTTGTTAGAGTAGAGCAGCAAATCCTCCTTACTTTAAACCAATCAAAGAGCATCTTAATTTCCCTCTCCTGATTGGTATAAACAGCTGTAACACCACCCATCTTCCTCACCTGCTAGTATCTTAGCATAAAAAGATCAGGTTACCATTTTACTCTACGTCATGACATTAATCTGCTGATATTACAGGTTTGATTTCAACTGGCCTGGTTTTCTCTCCAATGGCCACGGGTTATATATCTGTTTTAAAATGATGGCTGTTGATAGAGAAAGCACAACATAAACCTTTATACTTTACCCCAGATGTTTTGTGTCTAAGTAACAGGCTTCCCTTTCACTCAATGTGTTCCAACCTTTGTCATTTGTTGTGGGTCAGTGCGTCCCCTTAGTAACCAATACATATGAAATCACATCATGCTGCTTGTGTCGTGCAGACGGATTTATGGCCCTGCGTTGTGTGTAATGGGAGCTGGCTGCCGTATGCGTATTACTTTAGCTCGCCACCTCTGTGCTCTGAGTTGAACATTGCCGTCTTGTTCCATTGTCCCCACTGCTAAAAGTCTTTAAAAGATCTCCCACTTTGACAGAATCTGCAGCCAAGTGAAGGATTTCACCTCAGGAAACAGCCAGTTTTTTCGTCTCAGTTTTCCCTGCCTTTATTTGGGATATTTTATAGCCCCGTGTAATCTGATCCCACCACATGGGTATTCGCTGAGCGTTTGAAACTAAAACGCAATGGGACAGAGGGAGTACAGAACCCTGGTTTGGCCCTTACATGACAGTCTGTGTGTTTACGTTTAATATGTGTGTGTTTGAATGAAGGTCTGTGTTAGTGTGTGTGAGACAGAAAGAGGCCAGATGTTCTTAGTTTGATTGTGCCCTGTGCGACAGTTATCTGAGTGTTGAAATGACTAAAAGCCTCATTCTTGGCGTTTATGTAGAATAGCTGGATTAAGGAATAAGTGACCAGAGCAGAAGGGGTTGATATAAGATATCTTAGAAATTGAAATTAGAATCAGCCCAGAATCTATAACATCTAATTTCTCTTTCTCCCTCTCCCTTTTTCTCCATCTAATGAACAGACTCCCTGTTTAACACTGTATGGCAGTGCCAGATTCAGTGCCACGCCCTCTTGTGGACAACGCCAGTGTTCACACCCTCCAGCCTGTCCCTCAGCCTGTCAGCCCACCAGAGTGTTGCTCTGCCTGTAGACCAGCAGGGTGACAACACAGGAAGCAGTCCAGATGGCCATATTATCACAAGTCAACGTGAGGGAAGAACACAACACAGTCACACGTTTTGTCTTGGACCAAAGAGTATTGCTGGAGTGTTATGTTGTGTTCAGTGAGCCCTTGAAATGGAGCATCTCAGATCTTCTCCCAGTCTGACATTGCCCTGAAGTGTGTCTGTGTGTGTGTTTGTGTGTGTTAGTGTGGCTGCCCAGATGCGCTCCTACTCCTCTCCTTGCTCCATGCAGCAGACAGGGCTCTGATCAGCCTTGTGTGGTCTTCTCAGATGGAGCCTGAACATGATCTCTTTCCAGGGGAAACGGTTTGTTTTCCCTGCCCGGCTTGCACAAAGAGCCACATTGTTCCTCTCCCCATATCCCACGCTGACTCCCCACTCCAGGTTTTGGGTTACCTGGCCGACAGGGGCTCAGACTTCAGGAGCTTTTTTATTTTTTTGACCGACAGCCAGGAATATAGTATACCCTTTTCCCCTCCACCTCACCGCCCAATCTAAATATGGTACGCAGTAACCCACTGGTTCTGAAGCTGATCCCTCACAACCGATTGCCTGTGATTACAATTTCTGGTGAGATTAGGTCTTTATTGGGCAGTTTATATACTGCCGGGAGAGAGCCTGGCTCTGAAGGGTAAGGATTCTCCCTCTGCCACCTCGAAAACAAGGTGAAAACTTCATTGAAAATATGAGTGGACACCTACTAGTTGAGAAGGTCTGTAAACACTTAAAAGATAACGCTGGTCCCTCAGCTTTCACATGATCTGCCAAAGATTTGATAGCAAATCAGAAATTGAGTATGTTTTAGCATCATGTCAGGCACAAGACAGTTTACCTGATTCAGATTTGTTTTAATGTCCCTCGATCTAATCATAAAAGTCTTAAAATCAGACTGGTAGTAAAGAAAAGTAATATTACACTCAACCATCAAATGCTGTAATACGCAGCAATCAGTATTAGTTTCCTTTGCTATACCGGATACCTGATGAGAGATGATCCTGATTAGATTACTTTGACACTTTTTCAACACTTGTCCCATTGTAAGATTTTCTTGTTGTACTCCACACAGATACTATATGATGTTATATTAATTTATGGATGATGCATCTGTAGATTTTCACAAAAAAGTGCTTTATTTCTTCCTTTGTTTTGTTTTTTCTGTAATTATTGTACTTTGTGAGTGCCGAAGCTCTTAAAAGCCCCTTGTCTTTATGTTTATATACTGCATCCCCACTAGAGAGCAGTGTTTGCCTTTGTAACTTTGCACCTGCGCTTAGTTGAGAAAGCACCAGAAGGCCCATAGGCAGCCTGCTGAAACCCATATGAGTACACAGAACATAACACTGCTCTCAGTGCCAGCGGATATGCAATGCCAAGTCAATCGCTTTTCGTCAACATCTCGCTGCCATTATTTTTTCCTTACATCAATAACAGCAGTGTCAAAAGGACCCAGGCTGCCCTTCAAGGCCTCTTTTTAATGAAGAGTTCATCTGCCCCTGGGATAAGTAGTCATCATTACCAACTCCTAGAATAACTCCAAATGTGACCCACCCCTGCCATCATTCCAAAACGAAATGCCTATTGGTTAATTTTTGTGTGAGTGCGTGTGTGTGTATGTGTGTAAGCGTGTGTGTGACACATCTCTCCCCACTCATTCCAGCCTACATCTTCATCACAGGTCATGCCATTATGTTAGTGTCATCCTCGGCTGGCCAGGGGACTTTGTCAGTGATGACATCACTCCATGCAAATAGCTGGGGTGTCAACAAGTAGTCCTCTGCTCTCACGCCAGAGGCCTAAAAAGACATTGTTAAAGACTGCCATTGTTGGTTCTATTGCACATTTTAATCATTGCCATTTCTGACCTGATACAGTGTGTGTGTTAATCCAATGTTTGGAAAAAAAAAATACTTTTGTGTCAGAAATGATATTGCTGTTGTTGCCTGAAATGCATTGGTACTTTCTGACCTCCCCTATCAAACATTTAGCCCACTGTCTGAATAGCTTATTCACAGATTGTTTGTATTTCAATATAGATTCAGTAACCAAGAGCTTTGGTGAAGACCTCTTTGTAAAGTAAAATAAATAAAAGTTATTCTAAGAGCAAAATAATGTGTTCTGTGTTCTTTAATTGTTTTCATTTATTTAAAAAAGAAGCAAATGTAATTCTCAACCAATTATTGATCTTGTACTGTGCTGTAACCTTCTACATTTAAATATTATCCTTAATAATGTATAGCCATAAAACAATTATTTTAGATGTTTAAATGTAGATAAGGACAACTAGCACACGGCAGTCCCTGTCATTTTCTATTTTTAGTGCCAGCGTGTCTGCAAGGCAGCCCATCAGCATTCCTAAAATACTGAAAGTTGGTCGAGGCCCTGAGCTGTGACGGTAAAAGAGATGAATGAGATAAGAGATCAGGAATTCTCGGTGAGGGCTGGGGGGGAGGGAGTCAGTGATTGGAGGCAGTTAGGAGACTGGTGGTGACCCGGCCAGGGGCAACTTTCCTGGGTAAGATATGGAGCAAATCTGCTGCACAGGAGAACTCTTATCGGTACTCACCTACACAGGGAAGAAGAAACTGATATGGCATTCATTTCATGTGTTTTGTTTTCAAGTAACCTACATTAAGGAAGAATAAGCCGGATACATGGGCTTGCCTTCAAAATAAAAGCATAAATCAATCTGACCAATGACATTGTTTTATGGTAGTATTTTGTCATAATTTAATTATTAAGATTTGATGTATAAAATGCATGTATAACATTTATTCATTCAAAATACAATTGTGAGAAAAAAGTTATATAAAACTTTATAATGAGTTTCATGCAGAATGGTGCTTTTTCGAAAATGTGTTTCTCAGCTGAAATCACACAAAAAGACACACGTTGAAATAATAGCTGAAAACAGACGGTAAATATGTTTAAATAAATGTTATTTATAATCCAGCCTAGCCTTATATTTATCATATTTGTTAACATTATAAACGGCAGCATTTTATTCTAAGGTGTAATGTTTAATTAGAGATTTATTTTGATAGTTCTAACCGGAAGTTGTGCTGTCTGACTTCGCAGCAAACTCTACAGACAGTAGACACGTTGTGGTAGGATCAGATTTTGTTGTATCTACCTGGCAGCAGGTAGTGGAACCCGCCTTCTCCCGGCTCTCAAATAAGTCTGCTTGGTTTACAGTTTGTTGAGAGATTTTAATGAAAGAAGGAGGGTGAGCCGGACAGTGTACTTTGGCAGCGGATAAATAATTAACCTGGCAACTCAAGCAGTTTACAGAAGAGCTGACATGAGGAGCAGAGCCAAGCAGTAGCGGAGTGTGCCCCCCGTGTGCCTGTGTCTCGAGACTGAAAACAGGCCTACAGGTGTTTTTGTATTTCTGCTGTTTTAATGCCATTTGACCTGGATACACTGCACTGTAATCATGCTGGGAGCCGAGGGCAGACTGGAGAGCCGGCTGGAGAAGCTGGAGTCCCTCATGAGGGATCCACAGTCGGGACTAAACTTGGAAACACTACTGGTAAGTTTTATTTCCCTCTCTGTGTCTGATACAGGTGAGTCTTACTACTCAAACTTATGAGACACACTCTTACACGTAGCCCACATAGCTGTGCTCCGAGTTGTTGGTCTGTCATGATCAAGGATCACCTGAAGGGAAGTGTCCCGTGTCTCAGAGGACAGCTGGAGTAAACAAATCAAAGACCAGTTACACAATCTAAAAAAACACGTACTCATTGATGATCAAGAGTGAGTGATTACATCATCTTTATATGATAACAGTTTGTGAAAAGTTTAGTTGCCATTTGTTTATCATTACTTTAGCTTTTAGTCAGGGATGCAGTAGAAGGGGAAACCCCACCTAAACTATGTGTTGCCTCCTTTTCCTGTGTTCAATACACTTTAATCCTCACTGTTACGGTTAAAAGGGAAATTAACAGGGGTTTATAATTATCCAATATTATGATACCTTTCTAAAAGGGGCATTTAAGTGAATGTTCACTAACAGTCAGTGCATACCCTGGATTCTAATTATTGTACCCATTCATCTTACCTAGCCACTTCATCATTGTATGTTTGTGATTAGTCTCTTGGTGTGGCCTCTAATTTGACGTGCCCTCTCTCTAACCTGTCCTAAGAATGTACTGGGCCAACTTTGTTGAAACATACTGCCACTGTTCAGCTTATCTGCTTCAACTTCTGTCAACAATTACACACTTTTGAGCTGATATGGAGCAGCTTTTGTTTGCTGGGCCTCTGTCTTGACAGTATTTCCCACCAGGCCTCAGCTCAAAACTGTCTTTACTTTGTAAGTGTGCACAAAGCGCTCTGGAAGTGAAAACATGTTATAGTTTGCCTTCCAAACAATCCTAAGATACCTGAGGACATTTTTCTGACTGGATTAACATGCTTTTCTACATGATCGTCACACTTTCCCTCAACAAATGGAATAATCAATGTAAAAATGTTCTGAAAAATCCCTTTACTGTTAAATTCGTTGAGCTGCTTCATACTGGTTTTATAAAGCAGGAAGACACCAGCTGTGGTTGGCGGTCAGGTTATTCTCGGGCCATTTGGCACGAAGAAGAACACAGATTATCGTGGGATCATTATAAACATGTCAACCTATTGAATAGATGAGTCGGTTAAAGGGGATTTGATGTTGTGTATACTGGCTGTTTACAGAAAACAGCCAGTGTACACAACATCTGCATATTTCCTGCTGGGGGACACCATGTCTATTCTCAGGGCTGATGAGTCACAGGTCCTGTGTAAAGCCAGAGCAATCTCATGTCATTCAACGACAACAGATAACAATGTGAACTGATCCATTTTAGCCCACATCATCCCAAACTAACCAGTCATTATTCTCAGTCTTATTTCTAGTCAGCTGCATGTTGTTTCAAGCAGCTTTGTAGTGGTCCTAACAATGGCTCCCCAACGCAGGGAGCTGCCACACAGGAAGCTGAAGTCACATCCTGGAATTGAGATGGAGTAAACCTTCCATGACCTCACATCACTATTTCCTGTTTTCCACTACAATCATCTTTGTTGTGTTGGCACAAAAGAGGTTTTTTTTGGTTTTTTGTTTATCTGTAGAGGAAAATGATTTTGATTCTGAGTCGATTTAAGCTTTTGAGAAGATAAGCCGTTGGAACTTTTTCTGTATTGATTGTATTTCTTTTTGGATAAGCACGGCTTACTTTTCGATTTGAAGAAGCTCTCCGTTGTTGCTGACTGTGCTCGGGCAGTATCAGCTCACAGTGATGGGAGGAGGTGTTGTCTGAGGAGGACACAACCAAACTCCAGGATCATGTTCAGATTTGTTTAAATTCCTTTTAGAGAAAATCAAACCACATAGATCTCATTATTTTCTGCTCTAGCTGTTCTGAACCTTGCACTCTCGTTTAGATGACATGTGATGACTTACTTGACTTCATTGACTTAATTGTTAATAAGTAGTTGATGTTATCAGCAAATAAGTCACACCTATCACAACAATCATGATAGAATAATGATGATAAAAAGCTAATACCTCTTTTTATCATTGTAATACATGTATTTCTTGACATTAACCCCTTGGTATTCTGGCAATTCCTTCTTAATTATAGCAAGCTTCAGGTTATTCTTGGTCCAACATCCTTCCTCCACGAAAAATTTGAAAGGGAACCCCCAGTCGTAGTTTGCTTACTTCACATGTGAGTTCTGATACAAGCCCAAAGTATACAGTATGGTAAATACAAAAAGTCCTATGTTTATCAATTGTTAAGGCTGGAGCTTATAAATCAGGCTGTGTTGGGATTGCAGACAGGGGCTGCGTCTCACTTCGGTTAAATGGAATCCTTGCGTCCTTCACTTGCGTCGTTTCCCTGCGTCTAGTCCCTCCCACCAGGGAAGCATGGAGAGACGCAAGGAAACCACGAGAAGCAGGGAAATGAGTTTTAAGAGTAATGGGACGTCCTTTCTTCCGGAGCGTCACGTGAAGCGACGTCCGTTTGTGATGACGCCGCTCAGCTGATCGTATGACAGCAGCCAGCTCTGTCCCCGGTATTTTTCACAAATACCCCCACCTCTGTTAGTAGGCTACACATTTACTGACACAAACATTTGTATCATCTGTTGTAGACCCAAATAAATAAAATAAAATAAGAACTCGTTCTCAAAAAAGACAAACGCCATTCTTAAAATGTATGAACGAACAATAGTTTGATTAATATTGATTAGGGCAGTGGTTCTCAAACTTTTTTCAATAATGTACCCCCTTTTTAAAAAAAATGCAGCCAAGTGCCCCCTGGTCAGCGCAGAAACAATTTGTTAGGGACAAAAAGCCTTATAAAGAGGTACAGTACAGCGCTACACCATCAGTGTCTGATTTATTAAAACAACAACATTGTAACTGAGAAACACTTAAATGTTACATTTCAAATGTTTACAATCCATCACTAAATTCATGGCAAACCAATTTTAACATCATGCAATAACACTGAGATGACATTAGTTGCATTGAACTGATCTTTTTAATAAGTTATACTTACAATGTAGTGAGGAACATGGGCTTGAGCTCCACTGAGGACCTTTGTCATTCTGACAGGGAGGCCACTGCCGTTATTACACTTTGCGTTTTGAAATATGTGTAACTCTGTTAATATAAAACCCACACTGCTCAAACTTCGTTACTTTCACTAAAATGTGTATATTTATTTATTTTGTGGTGTGGGAAATGAAGAGAAAACAATATATGAGCATTTTATGAGCATGGGATTTTGACCCCTCATATAAACATATGCATAATGCTGCGCTATACTTTGCGGCCACAAGCCGTTGCCAAGCAACGCTTATTGTTTAGGTCCTTTGATAAGCAGGCAGTCATATCATTAGCTAGAACTAGCTAGATCTGATATATTTGGACATAAACGCGAGTGAAGTCTAACCGGACGCGAGAGAGGGATCAGAGATCAGATCGGCTGCTGCTGACGGAGAACACGCAGCTCTTCCGGATCAAAGCTCCGCCGCTGTGACTGACCGTTGAGCGGAGCAAAATACACTAAGAGTTAGACCTAACACACTTAGCTAGTTTATCTACTCTGGAACTAGCTAAACTAGTTATA